GTTGTCGTGTGCCATTGATGTTCCCTCTGCGCTCCAGCTTTCCGTGGTCGAATTGTTTTTTTGTACTTCTGATGCGAGCCTCTTCACTACATGTTTTTCAGGTCCTTAGCCGCATAGCAAGGTTGCACGAGGGGGAAGCGCTTTGTGAGCGTCCAGGCTTAGTGTCGCAGCTGTACTAGGTGAGGGTGGCTGGTATCTTGGCCTCATGGTGAATCCATGCCTGCAAGTTGGCTGAAGCATCGATCATGATTCAGCCGCGGCCTGCTGTGCCACAGGCTAGGCAACAACGGATACCAGAGCCTGGATGCCGAGGAAGAGGTTCGATAAATGATCAGGTTGAGCCGACAGGTCACCAATTGGAAGATGCGACAGAAGCTTTTCCTGCTAAGCAGCTGCCTCGTGTGCTTGCAGATAACTGTATTTTCGCGTTTTGCAATGCGACTGTAGCTCCAGGACGAATTGGGCAACCAGACTGAGCGTGATGTGATGTGGATGTGGGTTTGATGCAGCGGAGAGGTCCCTTCGTCGCCAGCGGCGCGAGGGCAGGTCATGGTGTCCGTGCTTCGCCGGACGGACTCCTGGCCTTCACGTAAAACTGCAAGTCTGCGGGTTCAGGCGGGCAAAGTGCATATGAGATTCAGAGGTCACACCTGGGAAGGTGTCCTGACATGTCTTGACTACATTATCTGCCGGGGCAATCCGGGAGCAATCCAAGCCGGCGTGGATCAAGCAACATGGTTTTGCTGAGGAAGGACGCTTGGAGAGGCATTGGTGCTTCCGCAAAGCCGCTGATTACTTGAAGCTGTCGCTGATAGACTCCAGTTGTGCGTTGATGTCATGGCAGCTTTTTCATATTCGGCCTGCATCGGCCTGCATGCGTTCCATTTGACAGCTGTAGCTCCAAAGCTTGGGATTGCATGATTTGATTCCAAGCTACAAGTCTGCAAGACCTGGTCATCAGCTGTTTTGGACCATTTCTGCAGGCTCCATGAGCGGCTCTTGCGTCTTCTGCCGCACGAGGAATGGATCGTTGCCTCAACTGTGCAGTTCCCATGCCCATGCTCTCGCAGTCAACCGTTCGGCTCAGCTAACCAGACTGAAGACCAAAGAGTTGGCTTGGAGATGTTTGCACTGTAAGCAAGATAGGGGCAAAACCACAAAGCAACCGCCGTGCATAAGATAGGGTCGCGAGGAATCGTGCAAAGAGGATTTAAGTAAATTGAACGATTTTCACAGTTCATGATACCAAACACCCTCTGTGTTCAGAAACCCTCTTTGCGCGATTCCTCGCGACCCTATCTTATGCACGGCGGTTGCTGTGCGGTTTTGCCCCTATCCTGGAACATCTTGGAAGTTTGCTGCATTTCAGATGCCGACATCTTTGTAGCTTGCTTGGAGGGGATGCTGGGATTTTGCACCTGAAGTTTATGAGATTGACTGAGGTTTCTGATTGCAAATTTTGACCTGTGACCAAGAGAGTGTCACCCACATGTACCTGCCCCGAGATGCTCCAGACTTCTGAGCTGTTTCAATGGCAAACCGTGGAAGATGGAGCCGTAGCAGTTTGAGCAAGTTGTGAGGATGGGGAGTGGGAACGATCTTGTTCTTAGGACTTGTGACAGCGACTGAGCATTCGTCAGTATGCACCCGCAGGGTCCAGAGGGCAGCTTCAAGCAGCAAGAGCCCCTTGTCAGCAAGAAGCCCTCGACAATGAGGTTCCTTGTTGAGTCAAGATGCGGTAACTCAGATCAATAGAGCTGATGTGCGACAGTCTCGTCCCGACCTTTTAAGCGCTCAAAGCTTGCAGTAGCCGAGGCCTCTGTCTCACACAACAGGCTGGTAGGCCACATCAGGCTTGGGTCGTCGACACGACGATCACCGCTTAGATGGTTGAGATAGCTTCGTGTGCAGTGATGTTTCGACCAGTCTGATGCAGCGCTAGCAGCCTTCAGCAGCGCCCGTGATTGACCACCGCATCTCAGCGCACCGTACGTGCTGCTTGCCATGTACCATAACTACAAGCACTTGCTGGTGACGCAGAACTTGTTACGGCCACCTCGTTCGATACAATTGATGCTGTGTATTCGTTAGTGAATGTTAGTGATGGCTTTGCCTCCCTTCTCAGCATGAAATAGATGGCTCCTGGACCCCAGCCCCCCAAGGAGGGCCTCTGGACACAGAAGTGTTCCGGGCGATACGGGAGATCTTGTAGCAACTGCTATCCGCAATCATGCATCATTCTTGGCCACTGAGCAAATGCTGAGGGACCAAATGAGACACACAATTCAGAAAAGCTGCCAACCGAGACAACAGGCATGTCCAGTCATTGCACAATGTAATCCTTTGCTGCGCATCTCTCATCCCCTCTCCTGCAGTCACTTGCGTGTCGAACTCCAACGAAGATGTCCGTCGCGGGGAGAGTTGGACGCCAGATTGTGGACTTTTGTTTTTTGTTTCTATTGCTAGGTTAGTTGCCAGAGCCCTCCGTGAATTTGACGTGAACATTTAATCAGATGATAGTTCTATATAGTTCTGAGACCACCATGTGTCCAGATGCCTCCAGCATGGCAAGTTGCGGACAATGCCACATACAAGCATGATACTCTCGATCGATTATAGTCAAGTGTCGAACAACTACTTTTCTGGACCCTGAAATCGCATGGGCTGGATAAGCTTCACGATCGCAAAGCGGTCCCCAACTGTACTATCGGGGTAACTGGCACGCGCTCACATTTTAGAGAGGACAGCTCAGACAAGTGGCGTTCGAAGCCCTTGCCTTTCGAAGCGTTCGCTGAAATTCGGGCATCTAGGAGCACGCAAACATTTTCAACGGAGGATTGACGGCTTGCATTCTGAGCACATTTCGCCAGCACAGGATTGTGTTTCCTGACATGCTAGTTCTTGACAATCGATCCTCCTTTGACGTTTATGCCAGGAAGCCCCTCGACATGGAAACGGCGTTGTTTCTTGCTAGCAGAGGGCACTGCATGTGACTGGATCAGGCAAGTTGTGCTTCCTTGTTGACGGGAAAAGGTAATTGTGTAATCTCGTGTAGTTCTGCACATCAAGACTCTGGAGCACTCAGGGTTGCTCTACGTAAGAGGCTTCAATATCAGGCATACATGGTGTCTGAAGAGTTGGCAAAGGGGTCCCTTTGATAGTTAGTATAGCGCCTAGTATATTTGGTTCCAGGAGCTTTAAAGATGTGGGAAACATTGGCTGTTGCATATTGATTTGTTGTTGAATGTATATGCAAGTGTGAAATCTCACATAATCTCATGAAACCTCATTTATTGTTGCAAGCTGAAGGCAGCCTCAGCGAACCTCAAAATCGCAGTTCACATCAGCATTCGTTTTTCTTCTATCCGTGTTCAGATATCTTGGAGCTGCATTTCAGGCACCACGTATCATCAGAGGATCTCAGCATACATTGCGTCTTCATTTTCTCTTTCAACCCTGGTTTCCCAAATCGTCGTCATCAAACCTTGATACGACCTCCTGAAGTCTCACCAAATGTCATTCTATGAAAGACCCTTGGGATCTAAGCGCCATGGACCTAGAGATCTTAACAGGGCAAGTGATGAGCGTTTGCAACATTATGGCATGGTCAGCAATGGTCAGCATACCACCGGCAGAAAGCTAGACAGCCGAAAGCTCGCTCTGAGCACAAAGCTCTTCTTCAGAAGCCCAGGTGTTCACAGACTTGAAATGTGGGTCCGTTAGTACTTGTGAATTTGCACATCCTTGGAAATGCAGAAAGGACAAGCCCAAGGACATTGACAAGCATTCCAAGCCTAGCTAAAGCCAACCTGCCTGGTGCCGACAACTCTTTGCGTCTCACCCGATAATGTAGCGGCCGTGCTTCCAAAAAGAAACCTCCAAGGACAAGGGCGTGCGCAATTGGATTGCAGACAGATTCAAATTGTAAAAGCATGTGACAACTTGAGCTGCGCTGCCACTTGAATGTTCCAAACCTGCAAGCAGCTTCTGGTTGCGGCTTGAAGACAAGTTACTTTGCTTCTTTGATCGAATGTCTCGCCGTGTCCTTCAACTGGGATCTTACTGGCTGGAGGGTTCCAGAACACCCCACATCAACAATCTAAGCCATGATTCAAGCATGTGGTTGCTCGCTCCGTAGATTCGGCAGAGCATCAGCCATGCAGATAGCTTGCCGGCGTGCATTCAGTGGGGACCTGAAGGGCTCATGGTTTGCGCAGACCTGCGAACGAGTGCCCACACACAGCAGGCATGCACAACCAGTTGTCCTAAGTAGTATCCAACCACTGACAATTGTATCTTCTCCAGGTGCACAAGTATCGGAGCTTAAGTCCCAGACCGAAAATTACTTGGATTTATCTTACGATGAACATCCAAGGTGCATGTGCAACTGGAAGCCTAAGGCCCCTGTGACTAGAACTAGAATACACTAGAATACTGGAAGATGGCAGGCATGATGCTTCTCATGCTGGCATTGTTATACTGCAATCAAACTGGAAGGTTCGTCGCCAAAACATTCGAAATATTGTTTGAGTACTGGCTAGGGCTAGTCCTAGCAGTACTTTGAGGTCTGTGGGATTCTATGGGTATGATTACAAGTAGACTTACAGTTCGGATTGCTATAATTGGCTATAATTGCTTATAACCTAGCCTGGGGAGTGCATGGGAGTGCATGACCGACGAACCTTCAAGTTTCGCTTAGAAGAACACGAGTTGTTGGAAACAAGAATACCAATCAACAAAGGTGGTTATTCTGTGGGTGCTCTTTGGTGTTGTTTTCCCTTGAGTTTCATGGCATTTGACAAGGTTCTGCTACATCAGGCTACATCCATGCACGCCCATGAAAGCGGCGTGTGCTTGGTGTTTCCTTCGTGTGGGCTTACTTCTGGTGTGGTGTCGACTTTGGGTTAAACTCATGTGCCGTGGGCTGCACTCGCCGTTCCGGTAGCTCATGGGGCAGGCGCCTGTAGCATGAGTTATAGATTCTTCGGGCCTTTGCTGAGGTGCCGCAGCTGTGGCAGCGCAGCGACGTCATGCAAGCAGCACACCTCCCTTGGGATTTATTGGCCTGGGGAAGATTGGAAGCGGCATGGTCATCAATTTGATCAAGGCTGATGACATCAGACTTATGCTCCAAGATTCTGGTACCCGCAGTTCCTGCATGTGCGATGTGTATCAGATGGATGGAGAGATGTAAGCACAGAGCCTTGGCGAATTGAGCTTCAGGGTGGAGAGTCGCTCATCGTCTTTGACCCGAGCTCCGCAGCCGCGAAGGCAGTCGAAGGCCTTTGAGTCAGAAATGCTTCTGAGATCTCTAGGCTTCGAATATCTTTTCATGCTTGCCAGGTCAATAACATGCATCGTCTTGTCTTGCAGGCTGTCACTTTGAGACTATGCACAGCGAGCTCTTGGCTCGCCCTTTCGTATCGCTGCCGATCGCATACCATGTAATGCCACACATAAAGTGGAGATCTAGCCCAGCACGGCTTAAGAGCCACCTGACCTCGATCCTGTACACAGCATGCTGTCTGACCAGATTGCTGGTTTTAAGCCAGTTTCCTCCTCTTCGCTTTGATGTTATTTCTCCGGTTTGCAGGAAAAATGCGGTGCTTCTGAACTTCCATGCGCAAGCACCTTGTGCATCTTGCAGGCGAGGCTGCAAAAGCCGTGGCAAGCATTGCTGAGGCTCACGATGGCTAGTGCAAGGAGTCTGGGGAAAGACCAGCGCCCGAGACAGATGTGAACTACGCACTACTTTGTAAGGTTTGGTTGCGAGAAGTAATAAATGAACTTGAGTAGCTTGCTAGTGCTCGTGGATGAGCCAGTTGTCCACGATCAGAGAAGCGTGCTGCCAAGGATAAGTCCCCAGTGATGTAGCAACCTCACAACATGAAGAAGAGAAGACCCTTGGAAGTAAAGCCAGGAAGCATTGGGCCATGTTTCTGGTGTCGGATTCCATGGGTAATCAGAGAACACCTGGGCTGTAGAGCCTGATGCTTAACGGAGGCAAAGTGGTTTGTGCTCGATTCTACACTTGGAGTTTTGCTGCTTGCCTCGTCCGAAGGTGGCTCATGACGCTCGGGTGGTGTTCTCGGCGTTGCCCGATGACAACGTGCCCCACCTAGCAATTCTCTTGGAGACGCTCAGCAGCCGATCAACATCTGTGACGCAGAGACAAGTAGGATGATGCAAGCCTCTCAGGTCCTGCAGGCCGTGTCCTCGGAGCTTCTCCCCAAACTGGCAGCCAGAGGTGATCGCCTTGACCTGAGGTTGTGATGGACGTAGATGGATTTAGGGCATTGCGTAAAGATCGCCGAGGCGGTTGCTTGTATGTGCTGAACTACTTCGTCAGTATTGCGGTAAAGAGGAGCGCAGATTCCGTGCCTTCGTTCTGCAATCAAACAATGTAGCGGACTTGGCAACTATCCGCCTCAACCCACGGCCTGAACAATATGACAGACGATTCGCTTTGCAACTAGTCATGTTGACGGCATATTGGGAACTCGGCGCTCATCTCAGTGGACTTCTACTGGAAAAACTTCTTAAGTAATCGACGTCGTCATACATGCCCCTATGCGTGTACATGGAGACCCAAGACTGCACTTCTGGAATTTGACCGCAACCACTCCATTTTCGGTATGTTCAATATCCCACCAGACTGAGGCAGATTGAGGCAGTGCATTTTCAGTTATTTAATGGAAAGGTGCTTCAGAGCCGTTTAGAGACCAGTTTGAGGCAACATGACGGACGTCCTTCGACCTGGGATCGGCAATGACAGTCCTTGAGAGAATGTTTTGTCAGAAGATAGAAGAGTCAGTTCTCGAGAGCCCCTGGCAGCCGCTGCTTTGGGTTTGTGGTCGCAAGAGTGCTAGCCGCTAGGAAGGACGACACGCGTACCTGAAGTGGTAAGCCCCCCCATGCTTTTGCAGAACCAGCTGCACTTATGCGCGCATTGACTTGCACGTTTGCCACAAAGCTCCAGTCCAGGCAGCCTCACAGGTGAGACAGATTGCACCATTTGTGAACACATTGTTTTTGTGCTTTTCTGCTTGGTCACAGCATCCTATGCCCTATGCTTGTGCCTGCAACTTGCCAGCGGTTGGCAACAGAGAGCGAAGCGTCCTGAGTGCCTTGAATTTGAAGGTTGTCCACAACGGTTCGTGAATGTCTGTGAGATGTTTGTTGAGGTCCGATCCATGTCTCTTGCTCCACGGTATCACCGAGCATTTCGCGAGCTCTATCTGAGGCGCGACAGCTAACAGCTAACACAACTCACTAAACCTTGGCGGCTTTGGCCTGGTGTTGCCTGCAAAACTTAACTTACTTTGCGAAGACCTGTTTCCTTTCTTTGTCTGGATGACAGGGTTTCAAGCTGCAAGAGTCATCTCGTTAAGAGGCACATGCCGAGAAAGAGGTGGGTTTCGTTTCCGCGCCGGTCTTTGCCCGCCGGGACGCAAGTCTGCTCAAATGCTGTGGCTAGAGTGTGGAGCTGCGTGTGTTGTCTGGCACAAAAGCTGGCGCGCCCAATCCTGTCCCATTCTATCCCATGCTTACATGCCAAATTCGGGTGGTGCCTGCATGTTGTGCGTCCTCTCATGAAACCCATCACATGACGAGGTCCTGACGGGATGCGTCGCGGGGAAGCAACATTTCCGGCGCAGTCCTAAGCATTTTAGCCAAACACAAACTGCGAGCATTGACATAGTCGCTGGGAAGATTGACGCCTTTGAGGTGAGTGGACCAGACTGGGCCAAAGAAACTGTCGTCCCTACCTGAAGGAGAATTCCATGATTAAGTTCAGGATGCGTTAGCGTGTCAAGGACACAATTACTGGCACAGTCCTCAAGCGTTTTTTTTGTCTTTGCAGCTCTGCCTGGCTATCAAGGTCCCCTTGCTCAAGAAGACAGCCTTGGGCGTTCATGACTTTGGCGAGGATGATGTTGCTGTATGGTGCTGTACAGTGTTGACATTAACTTGGACATGGACAGCGCTGTGCGACGGCTATTCTGTTACGCCAGCAGCAGGTTCTGCGTGAAACTCCTGAGAGGACGCCGGTGCGGCAAACGTGGCCGCGCGCTCGACGGTTGGGTTTCATGAAGGTGCTTTGCAACAAATACGACACAAAGCTACGATGATGCCAGAGCATTAGAGAGTTCTGATCTAGGACTGAGACATCTCAAGCTCGGAGTACTCAGTTCAATTCTGCAGAAGGTCCATGGCCAGACAGAACAATGCAGTATGTTGTTGGTAGAAGACTGAATGCTGGGAACTGCCATATTCAAGGTCAAGCTGGGCGGAAACTTCCTCATTGCTGCTGCCATCCAGTCCATGGCAGAGGTCACCCTCAATAGACCAAATTGAGACCAGATATCCTTGTCTTAAAGAATGTTTGAGAAAGCTTATCGTTTGTGGCATGCTGGCATCTGTAAGGGTACAGGGCAATATTTGCACCGATATCTTGCCTTAAGCATCTTCACGTTGCAGACGATGGGAGAAGCTTAGTTGCATGATGTTTGATACCTCCTCCTCAGTGCATGTCAAGTTCGCAGCAGGTTCTTTGAATGTCCGATATTTTGTTACGACGCGAATTTCAAAGGTTCGAGCAGTGGCCAGACACCAAAGCCAGCAAGGACCTTTGCAAGTAGAATCCGTTTGCGACGGTGAATCTTCCATTCGCCAAGATGCAGATAGGCCGCCTCCTAATTGATGGGCCTGAGCGCTCCCAATGTCTGTTTCATACTAAAGCGTGATCTTAAGTGAAAGACTTTATACGAGGAACCTGAGGCGGGGTTGGAACACTCGCGACTGCCCCATTTCGGCTTTGCTAGTGGTGCTTGTAGAGCACCGCATTCCTAAGCAGTGAGCATTTCAACTCGTTTTTGGAGGCTTCCGCCCTGGCAGAGAGCTATGATGCCCCACGCCTATTCTGGCTCATTGTCATACGGCAACAGCAACTGAATGTGCGTACCACGCGATACCATGCGGATCTAGGTAGATCGTGAGAAATTCATCTCCCTCATGCTGCACGCTCAGTTTGACTGGCTTGGATACGGATGTCTACACGTAGTTTACTGGCTTGACCCATTGGCCACTTGACTCCTAGGTCATCTACCATATTTGATTGCTTGATCTACAAAGGTTATGGCAGACCTGGCACGAGTTGCAGATTGCAGCTTGCAAACATTGTGCTGCAGCACGGTGCGACTGAAGCTGTGCACCGTCACGCTGATCACATCCTACATGTGTCCCCCACAAAGCTATGCGTAGCTCCGGTGAATCCAATGACTGACTTTTTGCGGCATGCGCCCGCAGTGCAGCGCTCCTGCAGCAGAACAACTACACCAGGTCACCGCGTAGCTGCACGTGATCATCATCCTTACCCTGACGTGACTTGACTTCACCAAGCAAATCAGTGTTTGCTCGGTAAAAAACACATTGCAATCAAGTTAGCTCTCACCGCTAACAGGCCCATTTTGCGTTAGACTTGGGCAGCAAGGACGGCAGTGCGAGAGAGTGACATGCGTTGAGTGCTTGCGCGGCCCATCAGTCATACAAAGGCCAGGAGGAACACGAAAGATGCAATGCATTGCAATGCTTCAGTACAAGTTACTTTAATCTTAGTCAGCAGCCAGCAGCCTCCACATCTATTTTGGGTTCCGCTTCACGGGTTCCACTGTGCGGGCCGCGAGGATGGCAGCGGAGTGGTCGGTTGGGGTATGGATGGATTGTGATGGCAGGAGCGGTGGTCGCGAGGAGGAGTGGATGGCAGGAGAGGCGGATGGAAGTGCACTGGCCGGCAGATGTCGGCAGGGTGCAGGATGGCAGGAGGGGCAGTGAGGACGGAGCAGCGGACTGGCTGGCAGAGTGTGTGATGGCAGGCTAGCCCCATGTCAGAGCTAGGAGTGCACAGGGTAGAAAAAGGCATGGTAGCTTAGCAGCTAAGCTGTTTGAAGGAAGAGAGAAGCCCTCGAGCCTTTGGTCATTCATCCAGGACGTCTCCCTTGTGCACAGCGCAGCTGCGCAGGCACTGCTTCAGAAAGTGACCATCTGCAGTAGCACTTAGGGAATGTTGACGCTTGTCTGATGTCAGTTCCTTTTACAGCATCCAGCTGCGTCAGGTTTCATGGTGCGCACGCAGGGCGTGCGGTTGAGAATACGGGGGTTGCCCGAAAGCACCGTGTGGATTTTTTTTGGCGTGTAGCGACCGCGGGCTAGCTTAGAAGGCCTTCCGCAACAGTTCGCGATGGCGTTCGTGATTCCATTCAAAAGGAATTTTGGATTTTGCGACAGGAGCATCGGTATGCTAGAACTTGTCCCTGGCATTCGGTGGGTAAAGGGTCATCTCAAGAAGCCTTGGTTTCTGCTTGAAACATGCTTCCGCGAAAGCTCGCAATGGTGTTCGCAAAAAGAACTATTGATTTTTGCGAAGAGGTCATTCTGTCATGAGATCATTTTGGCTAACCTCCATGTGAAGCATACCCATCGCTGTGTGCGGAGAACGAGTCAGAAAAGAATGACCCTCCCATGCCAGGCCCGCTGTCCAATGCCAGTCGCGTCGCTGCTGCGGGATCGCTTTGTTGCGTCGCAGAACTCGGGAAGAGGCAACTACAATGATTAAAGATTTGCTATGGGAGGGCCTGCTGGGGAAGAAAAATCTATACCTAGTATAGCCAGAAATGTTGGATTCACTTACAGGAGGTTGTTGTTTGGCTGGCGCTTTGGTTTTTCAATGCACCAGGCAAGCTCGACTGGTCAGCTGTGGCTTTGAAAGCTTCAGAGGAAGCTGGCAGCAAGCAGGCACCCTATACTGCAGAGAGACAGCCTTCAATTCACTTTGCCATCTCGCTTGTGCCAGATATGCCAGATATGCATGGTACGCAGCAGCACCTTGCAAGTTCTGCAAGTTGTTGGATGCGACAAAGCAGCCTGGCAAAAAGGGGTGCCTCGAGACATCAAGGGCTACCTCCCCGTTGACAGCCGTCAGCAATGCCATCAAAGAAGCACCAAGGGATGAAACAGCGTGAAAGCGAGACCAATAGGTGTTGCTTTCAACGGGTGCTGGGCTGCACGCCGAAATTTGATGCACTCGTCGGAACTACCACCCCGGAGCCACCACTCACTTATTTTGTAGGTCAGGTTGTGTGTGTGTTAGTCGAAATCCTGCGCCGGCAGCCTTTTGACAGATCTCACATATAGTGTGCCACGAAGGGAGGCAATCTAGGAAACCTTCAGTGATCGCAGGTTGCGGAGGCCATCACACGTCTTGAGAACGGCCGCTCCAGCTAGCAGAGGCCAGTACGCGGAATGCACTGCAAGGCTACGTAGCAAACTGTTGCAAAGATGCACTTGACGACTGCCTCAGAACTACATAACTACATGCTCCAGCCAATCCACATGGTGATGGGAGGGATGCACTTCTGGGTACTGTACGATGTTCTATTCCGGCGCTGCGATGATTGCGCAGGTGAAGAACAAGTAATCCGGAAGAAGAATCCCTTGAGCATGAAAGACTTTGGCTCAAAATTTTGCCTGAGTTGCCGCCACGCCGTAGAGCAGTACACATCCTGCCGCAGAATCATGCGGTTCCATTCTTGTTGATCCTACCTCGGCTGAATGTACAGGCATGCTGGAAGGGAAGTGGCACAGAACCAAAGGTGTTTATGTCTGTGGCAGCACTGGGCAGGCACCACCTCTCTCGTGCCGCCCGAGGATTTGACGCGATGCATGATGACCAAAGGTTTCCTCAACGTCGTCTGCACAGCAGTGTCTTTTCAGCGGGCTCAGAGGGTCTGGAGTAGGTCTAGCGATGTCAAACTTCTATCTGCCGCTACTTTGCTTTCAAAGCCAGCTTCAGCAAATCGTTCTGTTTCCTTTTACGCCAATGGCCTGCTGTCCCATGCGCAGGCTTTGCAACGCTTGGTGGCAGAAGACCCAGGCATGAGACATGCCACGCTGTTGTTCTTGAAAGTGGACTTGACATCCTCAGAAGCAAAGCATCGCAGATCAGCCCGCTGACCCCTGCCACCAGGGGGCCTAAGCGTTGCACTGGCGCTGCGCGTCACTGCTGGAGAGGTGGAGGCGAGAATTGGCTGCTTCGAGCCACTGTCTGCATTTCATTGCCATGAATAATGTCCGAGCCTATCAACCCAGTGATCCGAAGAGATCCGGAAAGATCAAGAAAATTTTGCTAGGTACATGTAGTACAGTTACGAAGGAGCAGCAAAAGCTGAGAAAGAGGTAAGGGCAAGAGTGTGTGTTGAGGAAGGTGGAATCTAATTTGGTTTGTCTCAATTATTTTTCACAGTTTTAAGTAGAATCAGCTTGGTTTTAGTCTGATGTAAACCAATCTTAAATAGATTTCAATTGACTTTAGCTTGGTTTTTGTTACACAAAGTTTCCGAGACTAACGACCCTGAAGCAAGTTGCTGTTATTCTAGGGCTTTTCCATAAATGTCAAGGCAGATCCTCTTACGCAAAGTCCGGCTTATGTACTGCATTGAAAATAGGTTTGAATGATGCCGCCGGTTTGCTCGGGCCCAGACAACAATATCCACGGATCGCATAATACTTGTCAAAGAGCTAAGCGTCTGTAGGGAGACAATCACTAGGCTTCAGCTCTCTTTCCTTCAGGAGGGCCAGACAGGGATTCTTCGCCGGCCATGCAAGTTTCCGCAATAAATTTTCCGAAGCCCGCAGGATACTGCCTGAAATGTATGCGTTTCAATCCATGTCATGCAACTGAGAAGGAATGCAAATCGACCATCATGCCATGCAAATGAATACACAAGGTAGGCGGCTGACCTGCCGCCCCCATGTGTTGCATGTGGCGCAAGCACTAACAAGACGCAAGTCTGGTAAACGGCAGTTCAGCTTACAGCCAGCAATGCATGGCAGATATTTTGAAACAGAAGCCCTAAAGATGACCGCCGTTACTACTGAGTGGTCTAGTAACATGAGAGCTGTTATCTTGGCCAGCATGGATGCTTCCACTAATTGATGCTCTAGCAACATGGATGTGATTATCTTGGCCGGCACGGATGCTTTCCGGCAAGGCCAAGCCAGGTTGGCAATTGCCGGAGGACTAGCAGGGACCCTTGACGGCACGGAGAAGGAGCTCAGACATCGGCCCCCGGAGCTTGCCTGCACGCTTCATTGCGCCAAGGGCATGCCAAGGCCAAGTTGCGGACACTGCTCCGGTGGAGGACCCGGTGGCAGCCCAGCGAGTCCAAGCCTACCGCGACATACAGCAATCGGGTATCCTTGAGCCGGTCAAACATGGCATGCTAGCCCCCACCTTCATTCGCATGTCGCGGCACGCCTAATCAACGCAAGCATGGCGGGTCTGGAATTGACCCTTCAGGAGATCCTGGTTACTGCAGTGGGTGAGGGGCATCCCCAACTGGCTCAGGAAGCGCAAAGACGCTTGGAAAGACTCCTGTGCCTAGCCGCCCAGGAATCTATGGCGTCCTCCAGTATCCGCCAAATTTCCATCACGCGCCCGGCCCCAGCCCCTAAAAAAGGACGGGGGCATACCTCCCAGGTCGAAAGGCGAAGGCAAGGGACGTCGTGGTATCGCAGGTCATTGCCGACGCCGATGAGAAATATCACGAGGATCTGGCCAGAGGAGGTGTATCCCAAGCAGAGGCTTCAAGCGGCACAAAAGCTGCTTTCGAGCCATGGCGTTCTCGTACAGAACCGGCCGCGAGGTGGCGGCCAGGCCCCAAAGCATGCGTACGAGCGGTGAGCTGCCGCCCCTCCAGTCCAGGAGGAAGCTGCATTGGAGCGCTTGAGGCGGCGTGGTATCATCCCGACGGCCGAAGAAAACAATCAAGTCGTCAACTTGGACCAGCTGCTGGAGTACTTCGAAACGAATTTCCCACCTGGACACCCTCGGGAGGTCGAGGGCCCAAGCCACTTCGATGCCACGGACATGGGCAAGTTCGATACTTTTTTGAGGTCCAGAAAGCGGCAAATGGCGTGATGCTTTTTTTATGACCCACGCATATGCTGCATTTCGTGCCTTTCGCTGTGGTCGCGATTTGGGAGGAACTGCTGCTGCCAAAAACGGGGTCTAGCAATAATTTTTGTTTAGTCACGCGTTCGTTGGGGAAAATGTGCAGTTTCCTTTATGTTTTCAGAAAGGTACGTAGCATGTTTTGATTGTTTCGTGTCATGTTCGCTCCATGGCAACGCATGCAAAACACTGTGAGAAAAAGGAGGCTTGAACTACGTTTGTGTGGAGCATGGTTGAATATGTGGGGGCTTTGAGCATGCTACTGAGGAACATCCCCGTTGATTTGCTGAGAACCATACTCTTGCAAGACATTCCTAAAAGCATAGTCCTTGAAGCGTTGACCCCATATACTTGCCATACAAGCTGCTCAAAGGGCCATGAACCCGTTTTGGGCAGCGACAACGTCATCATCCAAAATCGCGCTAAGGCCACAGCGAAGCGCGCAACAAATTATCATGCCGCTTTCTCAAAACATGTCGAGCACGGCATCCATCCGGAAAGCTGGATGTGTGTACGGGGCTTTTGCAGGAAGCTTGCCATTGCTGTGGGTGCGACCAAACAACGTACGTTCTTACTCCCCAAACCTCCCCCCCCGGCCCTGCAAACATGAAGCGTCCAAAAGTGGCGACCCTTACCTTGTTCTTGTTCTTGTGGTCGGCCATTTTTATCCTAGTGCCTGAAATAATGGCAGTTTGGGATCATTAATTCTCTTTGTAAGCCTCGCGGACGTGGCGCTGTGAGCCGTTTGGAGAAGGCTGCCCGCGCTGGCCTGGTCGCGGACGAGATGATGGGCTTCGAGCTTCATCCCAACAAGTTGGAGTCTTTTGCTTGCAACGTGGAACAGCGCGAGCCTTGATGGAGCACGCGGACCTCATCGGCATCCCTCAGACGGATTTCGTCCTGCTCGGCATCCCTTATAGGCTCGCTGGGCATCAGCCTTTCGACGCCAAGGACGTCACGCGGGAGCTGAGGGAGAGAGGGAGGCGAATAAGGCGGGTGGCTGTCAACACAACGACGCGTGCGAGACTGGCAAGTTTGCTGATGATTTCCAAGTTCCGTTTCAGGAGCCCATGGACGCGCTTTGCTCGGACAACGGGCACAAGTTGAGGCGGCAGTGTGGGGAGGGCCTTTGGCGACTGGACGGTCAGCTTTCCTTCTTTGGACCTTCGTGGGGGTGGACTTGCATCTGGCTTTCGCCATCATCGTGACAGTTCTGATCAAGGAGTGGCTCCGCATAGGGCGAGGTGGGCAAGGCCGCCATGGATGTCGGGTACGACGCGTTGGCTGCAGTTGGCTGGCAAATCCTTGGAAGTTCGTGGCTAACCCCACTGGGCGACTTCGCGACCGAGGCGATGAGCTTGAATGTGGGTTCCACGAGCGCTTGAGGGAGGCTTGGAGGCGGGAATTGTGGCGACGAGACACCAAAACTACGGGTGCTTTGCCAACCTCGGCGACGCCTTTGCTGAGACCGCACCGTAGGTTTGCTCAGGATGGCAGGGCTCAGGCGCTGAGAGTTGCTGCTGCTGCGGCCACTGATGGCTGTGATTTGGCGAGGCTACATGCTCCCAAGGATTGCCCCTGTGGAGAGCCGGATCCCTCCCGCCATCATCGGATCCCTCGCGCCATCATCTCACCTTCGACTGCAGTTTGAGGCCCTGGAACCACGACCGGCGCTCGGAGCAGGAGAGGCGCATGCTTTGTGCCAGGTGCAGGTGGGCAAGTTGGCTGGTTTCCTGGCGGCGGCGGAAACGAGGTGCTCATCGCGACCGACGGCGGTGCCTACTTGGCGGGAGAGCATTACAGATGGAGGGCGGCCTCATGGGCGGTGGCCGTGGGAGAAGAGACCGTCTCTGGTGACGGGTGAAGAGAGGACCGCAGCTGCAGGCGAGCGCGAGGCTTTCGCAGTGCTCTGCAAGGCGGTTCTGTTGACGGGCAGGCGTGTCAGGGTCCTGCTCGATAATTTGGCTATCGTGCAGGGCACAAGGCGGCGGGCTTCAGCGGACTTCGTTGAGGACGAGCTTTGGGAGTTCTGGCAGGGCTACCGGCAGGTGCGCGACTTGATGCAGATCGCCTGGATCCCATCGCACGGCAAACTGGCCTGCTGGACTCCTCCATGTGGCTGGCCCGAGGCGGGATTCTGCCGGCGTCTCAACGCCATTGCGGACGAGGCCGCGACTCAGCGGCTGGCAGCTGTGGCTCCGTGGTTCCGGTCATTGGAACGCCGCATCCAGGAGGGCGAGGCATGGTGCTACAAGGCCTTGAACGCGCAGTTGGCGGCGACGGAGCCTTGGCACTTGGAGCTGAAGAAGGTGATGGTCGACAAAAAGGCCATGACTTGGCGTGCGAAAAGGGCAGTGGCGTGAGCTACGAATTCTTCCCCTCCTTCATTGGCGGTGGGCGGCTACATCGTGTCAGTGTGCCGTCCTCATCGAACACTACTACTACTACTACTACTACTACTATTCTCAAACACTGAAGATGCTGGATACTACTCAAGAATATGGCTTCCTTGGAGCCTGCTAATATAACCCGTGGAACCGCTGAACTCTTAAAATCTATAGGAATGGCTCTGCTGCAAAACCCAGGCCCCAGGGCAGTTGCTTCTGTTGGTTTGAGGGTGCACCTCAACGCTTGCAAGAGGACATGTTCATGTGTTCATAAACGGGGTCTGGAAGCATTTGGAGCTAAGCTTCCACTGATGTAGACAAGCCCTGCACCGCAGCCGTTCCCAGACAGAGACAGGCCAGACAATGTGCTGCTGTGCTGCTGCGAGAGGCGAGCAGTTCAAAAAAACAAGAGCATGCTCTGCGTAAATGCAGTGTGCCCCGACGAAGTCCGCCCATTGCAGGTCTTCACACAAAACAGCGCGCATCTCATCCCGCCTGCTGGCGAAGGCTGGCATCGCCAATGCAGCATGGCTGCTTCTGTTTTGGGGGGAGAAACAGAAGCGACGCCCACCTCCACAAGCTGGCCGTCCGATGTACTGCTTGTCGCCAGGCTCCATGGGCGTTGCAGAAGGCAGCTTCAGCCGAGGGAGTCCGGTCGTCCGTTCCGTTTTGTAGTGCCAGTGCTGGAAGATGGCCGCGCATTGGCCCTGCGAGACTTGCGAAATCTTGCAAATCTTCGCAGGTCCCGTTTGGATCCGCGATGATTTGGGGGAAGCGCTGCTGGAGGTGCAAGCCTTTGGACATTTTCTTACGGGCCAGGTGCACGTGGCTTCGGAAGTTGAATGTTGGTTTGTCTGGCTTGACTTAATGTCGAGAGACCTGTTTCTGCATATGAAAGCAGCATCACATGATGGCATGCTGCTGGCACCAACTCACCGCACTCAGCGATGCTGCGTATCTGGCAATGGTTGACTGTTGATCAAACAACGTTTGCATGTTTGCCATCATGTACCCTGCCAAGGTGCTTGCTGCTTGCCTAAGTCCTGATAGCAGGACATAACAGAAAGGGTTGAAATTGGAGGTTCTCGAACATGGAGGCAGGAGATGCATCTGAACACTGCATATAAAAGCAAGAGAATCAAGGAGCAAAGCCATCGTTGTGCAATTTCGTTCAAAGTGTTAACTGACCTATTCTGATCGAGCGCAGTGTGAGTCAAAGCAACCGAAGGATGAAGCCAGGACAGCATGGCAGATCTGAAAGACAGGCTGTCTGGTTTCCGTCTGACTCGTGTCAACTGATGGATCAGTCTATTTATTTCATCAGATCTTTTTGTGAGTCATTGCATCGTATCCTGCCGGCCTCGTACCGCAACAGAGGGCAGTCGTTCAAACTGGTTTAGCCGATAACAGCAGTCAATGCGACAGGCACTCCGAGCTTCCTTGTCAGAGCCAACCGTTGCAGACTCGGAACAGAAGATTAAGATCCAAGGGTGCTTCTTTGGGTCACATATCTTGTGTTGGAGAATTAGCGCTACTTCTTGAATTCCTGACATACGTTTTCTGCGTAAGGTGGCAAAGGATCATAAGCGGACGCCAGATGCACAAAGACGTGATTGCTTAACATGCTTTAGGTACGACGAAAGGCTGCCGATGCTGTTGCAACCGCAGCCTTCCGTGGCTTGGAGGCAGTCCAGGTCTTGCAGAATGAATCCAGTGTTTGCATGTGCTTGCGCTTCTCTTTGCTCTCTTGACTCTTGTCTTCCGAGTAAGCCACATTTCTTGAGGCCAGTTCAGCTGTTGCCGGGCCTGGCCAGCCCTGACGGCTGCGCTAGTCAAGCTGTCTGGGTCTTGCCAACTGCGACATCCAAATCCATGCAGAAACCTGGCTACTGTACCTCATGCTTTCGTCGCCGCACATCTAGTACAAGTCGGGAAGCTGCGCAAGAATTTTTGATTTCAACATTCTGCCGAACATTCAACCAGGTGCAGCACCGGGGCACGCGCCGAGATGATTGCTGCAGGAGGCCCAGAATACATCTCTGCCGGTCCTTTTTGTTTTAGGGAAGGTCTTCATGCAGAGCCAAACAAGCCAGCCAGTTTCGGGACACGAACAACTAGAAGGTGAGCTGACACGTCGTGCTGTCACCTGGTAGGAAATTGTAGAAGATATGCGCAAAGAGCATAGAGGCATTTTTCACGCAGGTTGTAAATTCGCCAGCTGAAATTCACCAGAACTGCCTGCGTGATCGACTTGACATAGAAAATAGCCTCTGTGGTCGCAGACTGGGGGAGGGGTGGTCGGCTGGGGAAGGGATGGTGATGACAGGTGTGGGGGAGGCATGCGTCTCAAAAATGTCTTCAAACTTCAAGCGATTTCGAACGGCTTGCTGTTATGGATGCTGTTGCCTTCCGCTGTTTCCGTTTCACTGGATTAACACCTGTTCATGACAGCACAGTGTGTCTCTTCCATTGGTAAAGCAATTATCTCCAAACGTGGATAGGCCAATACATCACATCATGGATCGAAAATATCAAAGTGTTGTCGAGCCCTAGACGCTGCCACTCGCAAATCGGCTTTCGGCAACTGTCGCCCAGGTTCTTGAGTTTATCGAAGTGCTGCGAGATGAAGCAGAACTTGCAGAAGAGCAGCATAGTGGCAGCAGAATCAGCAGACAAGCCTGTGTTTGTAAAGAGGTCGTCCGCCGTGTGGATGCGTGGAAGGTTGCCGGATGTTGCTGGGTCACGGAGCTAAGGCTTTGGCCAGAGCAGAGCGTGCGTCCAATGACATGGGTCTACGCCCAGCTTGCAGCGCTGCAGGACGACACGCAGTCGTTGCCCCCTCAGAGGTCTCAGGGTGGATTTGACGCCGCACTCGCAGCTGAATTGGATGTCACATTGTCATGTGCGACATGAAGAATCATGTTCATACGGTTGCTTTACCAGATCATCTGTGCAGCTGAAGCTGGAGCAGCTCTAAGTGAGCTCCTGTACATTCGTTTACCACAGCTTAAATCACCAAAACGCCCTCAGCCGAACCGTCGCCTCAGCGATGCCCCGTCTGCTCATGGAGCCGCAGACGGCGGAGGCACAAATCGACACATCGCTGCTGGTGTTTTGCGATGTTTTGCAACTGAGCTGCGCAGACTGCGCAGGCGAGCCATGGAGGCTTAAGACAGTCACAGATCGAAGCTGTTTGGGTGGGCCCCCGACGGGTCCGCACCCAGGCCGGGGAGTTTGATGGACTCTGCCTGATGGTTGAGCATGCGGGTGTCCTGCAGTCCGGTGTGTTCTTTGGCAACGAGATCCTTGCAGGTCCAGGAGGGGATTTGGGAGAACCGAGAACGCAGTCAGACTTTCCAGCCATCCGTTTGCCACCTTCGCAACATGAGGATTAAGACTCCAAGCTCATACTGCTGCTGTTTCAACTGTTGCTTCATGTTTCTTTTGCAATGAAGCTTGACTGTGCGTCATGAGGCGCGAGTGCAGTGCCTCATCGTTGTTCGGCAGCTTTCCTTCCCGAATTGGCACCAAGCCCCTTGTGGGATTTAGACAGATTTTTTCCAAGCAGGGGATTCGCGCGAAGAGTTCAGTGAGCCTTCTAGCGCAAGGTCGGCTGCGCCCAACGAGTTTCTCTGAAGCATCTGACGCAGCAGATCGCGCGAAGTTGATACAAGCTGAGGCACGCGCAGGAATCAGCTCCGCAAGGTAAGGAAATTGTTGTTGGCAGTCGCGGTCCTTGCTAGCAGGTGGAATCAGCAAGGGATGCAGCAGAAAGCGCGGAGGAGGAGGCATCGCAGTAGACGGTGCAGCAGCGAAGCTGTTCAAGTGCACACGTCGTGCACATGGTTTAAATCTGGCAAGTCCATACCATCAATGGGTGCAGCAGACTGTACACATGTGCATAGCTGCTGATGGCTTGAATAGGAAGATTTAGTGGCGGCGTGTGTCTGCTCCAGGCCTGCACGAAATCATGTTGTTAAGCCAGGCCGAGGCTGCGGAACACGCTGAGCTCCTTGTGGTCGGGCTAGCCACGATCTTCGCCGGGTAGCATGGCTGCACAGAAGCCACGTATGACACTTTTGCTATTGCTTTCTGCGAAGGTTGGCTTGGTTTACCACCTTCAAGACATGGCAACTCTACCAAAGGCACTGCAGTGACTTGGGCATCTTGGGTCCTTAGAGTGTTTGCATCTGCTTGCAGTTTTGTACTTGTAGCAAGCCGCAGTTTCATCGTGTAGCCGCTGTGGGACAGCAGCTGAGAAAGAGGGGATCATCTTGCCGTCCTTTGCAGGTGGCTGGCCATGAAGCGCCGAAAGGCCCTTTGTGTAGGTGCTGCGCGTGCTGCAGCGGCACAGGGACGCTGACGAGGCAGACAGAGCCTTGTTTCACGGCTCGGTGTTGAGCGTGCTTTTGGATTTATGAGTGATTTATGCACAAAGTCCCATTGGCTGGTGTAGTCTCACTGAAGCCTAAGTGTTGACCCCAACTCCTTCCGGCCCGATATGCAGTGAGTGACAAAGCTTCATTGCTGGACGGCGCCCGAGAGGAAAAGGAAGTGGATTCGCTGTGTGGCCTTGGCCTGGTGGCCTGATGAAGCATCTGCCGGGCAATTGGTCATGTAGAGTGGATGTTGCGCTCGGCATCGTGCGGCACGCTGCACTTGACCATGCACACCACGAACACATGAAGGTGCGCGCACATGAGCGGAGGATGAGGCGAGCGACGACCTTGTTCTGTGGCAGTCGATTGATCAGAAGACACGGCCAAGGGCCAAGTTGCACTACTGCCTTGATTTTGTTATTCAGAGCCCGTGCGTTGCGAGTAGCAATCCGGACACAGCTATCATTCCGCATCAGCCAGCTTTGCCAAGCCGGCTTTAAGTTCAAACGCAACATTTTCGCCGCGAAATAAAAATTGATGCAGCTTCGGACCTCGCTCGGCTCCACCAAAGCACTGATGGAGAAGTCGGAGTGGCAAATGCCTACGTATTCTCGTAGTCTGGTAGTCTGCCGGACGATATGGACGGTGGCAATTCTGCAGTCGGAAACATTACGGGCACTGTGTACGCGCTCAGGAGTGCAAACATGTGCAAACATGATATTGGCACTTGACCAGGCTTCCGTTACCCTCATGATTACTCTGAAATCGGGATGATTAACTGATTGAGCAGTGCGGCTGCGGGAGGAAGAATCCGGAGCCTTCCGCACCCTGCTAGCCGCTGCCTTGCTTGACCCAGACGTGGAGGCGCATGCTGTTCACAATGCTTCCTAAAATTCAGAGGTCGGCATGAGCATTGGAACCACCTCTCGCTCAGATGAGAAAGTCATTCCAGGGGCCTCGGGATCCTAGGGGTTGTGTGACATACATTCTCAACAATTTCCCTTCAACATGTTATAACTGCATGACCAAAACTTGACTGGAAGACATCTTCAGAGATTCTAAGGCACGTGGGAATATTCCCACTCACCGACGCATGTGCTGAGAATAGTTGGCACTGGTGTGCCCTTTGCGATTTTCTGTGCAGCCTCAAACTTGTGAAACAGCAGAAGATGTGCTAAAAGGACAGGGAGACATGACAATCAGGGCACATTTTTCTTGTCGTGCAGTATTGCGATGTTCGAGCTCGGTCATCCGCGACTGCTTGAAGTCTTCCAGGAGGCCATTGCCGAACCAGCAGCGCGAATCTTTTGCCTTACTGCCAAGGAAGAGGCCACATGGTGATTCTTCAGTTTTCTAGCCTTGCTAGAGCTGCTAGAGCGACTTCATGTCTTCTTGTTGTTGCTCCAAGAGGACAATTGCTCTTGGTTCTGCAGTACTGCGGTAACCACTACCACTTCCGCTACGACCTTGAGCCCACATACTATCACTGCCGCTGCAATCTCCACCCCCGACTCTTCCTGACTCTTCCTTGTCTGCGTAATGAGGAAGTGATTGCTTCAATACAAGGGAAACGCGACATAGACAGGAGGCCTCCATACAAACCCTCCAATCAATATCCGATTCAATATCCCCCAGTAGTACATGTGGTTCTGGACCAATGACCATTCATTGTTGGGCAGGGGGACGGGAGAGATGTGTTTCAATATCAGGGCAAACCATTACCGTTGCAGAGCCAGTAGGGATGGTCAGTGTTGCTGCAAGTCACCGTACATAGACTTCTAGGGTTTGTCCGCGCTGCTCTCAAGTGCTGTTCAGATTCATGCTTACGGGAGCTGCAACTTTCTTGTTGTGCCCGTTGTGTGCAGGCTCCCGAAGAGCTACGAAACACTGTCCGGGATCTGTCGCCCGCTTTGGCAGAGGAACGTCGCAGTAAACTGCCACAAGTTCTTGTCCAATCGCCGTCCGCTCATGTGGCATTCGTAGCCGGGACTTGACGCGAAACCGAAGTTTGCCTATGATGGCGTTGTGTGCTCTTCCTGCATTGAAACGCCCGAAATACACGGTGGATTCACATCTGCAGGCCGTGGTGCGGCACCCGAGAGAGGCTACCGGCCTTGAAACTTTAAATTCTGTGTGAGCGGACCATGATTTGAAGGTGCTTGCAAGCCCAGTTTCAGAGCAGCGCTTGCAGAACGTATTGCATGTATTGCGCTGCCTCCTCCTTGCAGTCTGTCGGCTCAAGTCCTTACATCTCCGCGGTGCCACAGAGCCTTCTGGTGCTCAGCTGGTAGCTGAGACTTAATGGAGCATGCTGTTAGTAGCAGCATGTCATGCATTACAGCTACAGCTTCAGAATTGGCAGCTGCGAGGCTTTTGTGGATACGTGCTATGTATCAGTACCAGGAGCAGAAGAAGTGGTAGTGGTGATGCTGGTGGCAGTAGTGGTGGTAGTGGTCGTGTAGTAGTTGTCGTCGTCGTAGCCGTAGCAGTAGTAGCAGTAGTAGTAGTAGGAGGAGAAGGAGTAGTAGTAGTAGTAGTAGTAGGAGGAGGAGGGTGGGGATAATTGCATATAAACCAACCTCAACCAGTCAACTTCCCGCAAACTTAATGCCTTCCTTCAACTGCTCCAACTAAACAAGATCATGGAGTTTCTCTTGGCTTTTTCTGGGAGACAGGCCAATGTGGATCCATAGGACCGCCATTTTGGCCCGCATTTTTGACTATACCCCCGAAATCTTTGATGACAGT